TCACTCATAGACATGAAGAATCAGCATGTGAATCTCAGCAATGGTGACAAAATATTCTGATAATTTTGATATGATTTTTGAACATCACAAAACAGGGCAGTAAAAAGTCACAACAAAAATAAAAGCAAATAGTAAGAATAAAAGAAAATACTAAGACAATGCAGCTGCATAATTTATTCATGTCGCAATGCATGCTGATGGAAATAAAACTGAGTGTCGTTCTCCATGATTTGTGAATTCAGGTGACGCTGTCCTTCGGGCCGAAATCAGTTTTTTTTTCGTTGCGACTCAATTTTATAATGCCTATAGCTCCAAAAGTTGGACACTTAGAGGATTTAAACCGGTGTCTATTTCACCAGCTTGATTTGTGAATTTTCACAGTTAAGCTCTTGTCCGTAAACCCCTTGGTAAATCCGCTATAAGGAATGTGAAAAACCAATAAACACGCAGACTGCTCGAATACAAAAACATTGTTTTTAGGTCAAACTCGATTTGTGAAAACTTTCCCAAACGCAGTTTATCGCGTGTCTTTGTTTCTCTTTGCACTGCTCTTTTTTTCTTCTGTCATAATGTCATACGTTGCTGTTCCAGTGAATAACGGTTTTCCAAGCCATTAGATAAATCATACATGGCTCTAATAGACTATTGTGATTTGTGTAATCTTTCACAATATAAAGGTTTGGTTGTTTTACCTTACCTTTTATGAGTCCTTGGCTTCTATTTTATGTTTTGCTAAAGGTTTCACAGTATAGTTTTTGTCATTTAACCTTTCCCTGAGCCCTTAACTTAACTATTCTGATCTGTGGTAACTTTCACAGGTCAGTTTGGGTCAGCTGAGGTGGTAATTTTTTGCTATGATTTCTCTGCAGCAGGGACTGGAGCACTTGTCAGGATAGAAGAAAAATGGATGGGGAAAAATACTGTCAAATTCTTGAGGAAAAAGTGATGTTAGTGACTCAGGGAAGGGTCAGCTGACCCAAACTGAACTGTGAAAGTTTTCACAGATCACAACAGTTATGTACATGACTCAGGGAAGGGTCAGCTGACCCGTAGTGAACTGGGAAAGTTTTCACAGATCAGAATAGTGATATTAGTAACTCAGGGAAGGGTCAGCTGACCTGTAGTGAACTGTGAAAGTTTTCACAGATCAGAATAGTGATTTTAGTGACTCAGGGAAGGGTCAGCTGACCCAAACTGAACTGTGAAAGTTTTCACAGATCAGAATAGTGATGTTACTGACTGAACCGTTATCTGACCATAACTGCACTGTGAACGTTTTCACAAATCAAAATAGTGATGTAAATGAATCAGGGAAGGGTTAACTGACCAACACTGCACTGTGAAACTTTTGCAAATCAGAATATTGAAGCCAATTACTCAAGGAAATGTACAACAACCAAAACTTTATTGTCAAACAAAGTGTACAATTGTACATGTGTATGTGCTCATTTACCTAATGAATTGGAAACCGTTATTCCCTGCTAATATGGCGGCGCCTTCCCGAAATGCCATGCGGAGTGAAAAGATTGTGACGTAACTCCTCATTCTCTATAGGCATTATAAAATTAAGAGTCGCTACGAAAAAAAACCTGATTTCGGCCCGAAGGACAGCGTCACCTGAATTCACAAATCATGGAGAATGATATTCGGTATTATTTGCATGTCTATGACAGCGCACTGCGTATTTATAGCCAAAATAAATCTGAATATCAAACCGCAAACTATCTTTACTGTGGTCCGGGATTCGACTGTTTTCTTAATCTAGCTCCCGCTGAATCTCTGACCATTGCCACCTGCTCTCGCAACATGTGTTTCGCTCCCGCGATGGCACTGGAACCGTTTTAAAAGTATCGATTTGGCACCGGTATCGAAAAAAAAAAAAAACGATACTCAACCCTAGTGTAACCAGATAAATATAAATACAAAAGAACAAATTAATTTAAAAAAAGAGAGAGAGTAGGCTACTCAAACGAATCACGGAATCGTTCCTAGGAACAAATTCGGTGAAATTTGACCGAGAAGATGTGCATACGTCAAATTCTCACCTCATGAATATTAATTGGTTCTGTTCCAATGGCAGCTTGTCTTTTTCTTTAAAAATAAAACAGTGCCTTTTAATTTTTTCAGGATATAAAAACGAAATTATAATCAAAATTATGAATTTTCTCTCTGCCTTCTCTGTGGTCTAATGGGTTCAGTTGGGATCAAACCTGACCTTCATCTGTTGTGCTGTAGAGACAAATTACTCTTCCATTACCTGCAAATTAATGCTGCAGAATGTTATTTTACTGTTAACATTCACATACTGAAGAAGCTGTAGCAGGAATGTGGGACCCAGTGATATTTGTAGATGTATTAATATCACAAATTTTATGTATTCATCTTTTACAGACATGTGACTTTTTCTCTCATACGCTGTATTTATGACCATCATGGGGCAAAGTGATGGGTAAACCCAAGGCCTTCTTATAGGCCCCTTATCATGTGCATGTGTGTGTTTGTTCTGTAACAAATGTTAGGGATGTAAACGATGGGTTAAATGTAGTGTGTTTGAGCACTAACAGTGTTGTATGTGCATCCACAGCTCCTTAGCGGATAAGAAAAGTGAAATGATAAACCAGTGCTATCACTCTGTCATAGAACCTATTTAATAAGTTGGTCATTTTGTGTACAGGTTAACAACAGGTTAATTAAGGTTAACTCATATTGTAGGATGCTCTACTGCTCCATCTGAGTCACATGCATCAATCTGCATCTAATCTCACTTTTTGACTGTTCACGAACCTTGTATTGGGAGCCCATTCATTAAATTGCACATCTTGGATGCCTTCCTCATCTAACACACCTGATTGAACTCGTCAGCTCATTAGTAGAGACTGCAAGACCTGTGCTGTGTTCAAAATCACCCCCTTTACCCTCATTCACTATCCCCTACATTAGTCCACTAATATTGTCCATCTGAAGGAGTGAAAACGAGAAGGAGTGAATGAAAACGAGTAGTGAATTCGGACACTGAGTGCACCGGAAGGAATGCCGCTTTTGCATAGTTTGTGCTTGCTGTTTATTAATCATTTGAAACTAGCAGCTCCAGTAAGATTAAAGGATTTATCTTGAACTCTGTCACGGAAATTATGTATAAACCCTAATCAAACAATTTAATAATCAATTTACAATTAATTTATACCCGTGTTGTACATTATGCTGTACGCTATGGATGAGCGCTTTGTAAAAATGAACGGATTGATTAGTCAGCTGCGGGCGCCATCTTCTGGCGAGATGCGGGAATTCATTCGGCGCGTGACTCTTACGGTGCATTATGGGCATTCTCTAGCCGTTGAGCATGCACCAGTTGTACACTCGTTTTTGCAGTGCATTGTGGGATTGAATGAGTGCACTTGAGAACGTCCACTATGGTTTCAGACACCACTAAAAATGGCTGTTCCCTCAAATAGTGCCCTATTTAAGCGTATAGGGGGCGATTTCGGACACAGCCTGAGTGTGACAGAAGGACTGCCGCTTTTGAATAGTTTGAGTTTGCTGTTTAATAATCATATGAAACTTCGCAAACTGGCAGCTCCAGAAAAAAATTATCTTGAATTCTGCCATGGAAACTATGTGTAAACCTCCATTAAACTATTTAATAATCAATTTTAAAAAATGTATACCTGTATGATATTATGCTGTACCCACACTGGACCAGTGGTTTGGAAAATGGATGAATGGATGATTCAGCTGCAGGTGCAGCTTTCTGGCGAGACGTGGTAATTTATTCGGCACGACCCTCACAGTGAATTATGGGTATTCTCTAGCCATTGAGTGTACATCGGCACATTCATTTTCCAACTGAACTAAATGATTTTTATTTCTATAAAAAAGCAGGATGGTGGGACCCACACTATATCTTTTAACCACCCGCAGCAAAGGTAAAACCACATTAGGGGTCCTAATCCCAATGCAGCCCTCTAGCTCCAACCCTAATCAAACACACCTGAACAAGCAAATCAAGGTATTTAGGATTACTAGAAAGTTACAGGCAGGTGAGATTGATCAAGCCTGGAATTAAGTGGACCTCGAAGGCCAGAGAGCAGGGGTGTGCAGTTCTGCTCCTGCAGGGCCACCTTCCAGCAAACACACCTGAACCAGCTAACCAAGGTCTTCAGGATCACTAGAAATTTCCAGTCAGGTGTACTGGAGATACACTCCAGGAGCAGGATTGGTCACCCCTGCACTAGAGACATCAAACCTGTACTTACTGTGCACCTTCCCTATCAGAATCCAGAGTTTAACTTTGTGTCAAATAAGGGTGTCATTTTGGTGGAATTTAAGTCATCTCAACATCTTATTCTTTTAGGCATCTAAGAATAAAGAAGCCATGTTGACATGACAAGAAAATCATTGCAGAACTGGTCAAACTCATGGCCTCAACCCCTGAGGTACCAATGGCCTCTATCTTGGATCTGCAGGAGAAGGAGAGCCAACTCGAGGGGCTAGACATGCTGGAGGACCAGAGTATCTTCTTGAGGGAGAGGAGGATGAGCGATGTGCTATGAAGAGCTGGACAAGGAGCTCCTGAAATCAGTGCTGCTGAGGAGTCAGTCCCAGGTCAAAATGGCTATACCAGGAATTCTTGGTGTTTTTTGATCATTTACAAATACTTCCACTTCCAGTTTACATACAGAAATAATGCCTTGTTTTGTGTGCAGATTGCCTGGAGGATTGCAACTTGCAGAAGGTATATAATAGTTTTTATGGCAAGCTGACCACCTACCTGTCTTCCAAAACATACCAATCGAGGAGGTAGAGGAGGCGAGATACAACCTCCCAGAGGATGCCTACTTGATAAACCTGAGTGTTTTCCTCTCTTTTGCAGCTCACAGCTCCACATTTTGCTGATTGTTCACCATTTGTGTTTTACCGTGGGATTTCCTTGTACAAGATGAACCTGGTTTTCAGGCAGCTCAGATGACCCTCAAACCAAAAGAGTTGTAATGGTGCCAGGACTTCTGAGGAGGCTGGAAAGATGACCAGCTTCTCCTAAATAATTATTTCCAAGAGACCTGGAAGGACTTAGCTGAATATCTGACATTTACCAGCATCAGTAACCCACGTAAGTGGTCAACCACTCAAGTTTCAGTGACATTTTGTGGATTTGTTTGTTATTATTTGTGTACTGTTGCTTCTCTTTTGCTCTCTTTCTAGATGAGGGACATCCACAATCCTGAAAATCTCTCAAATCATGTGCCACAACACCTCAACAGCAGAAGTTTCAAACCATCAAACTCAGTCTAAGGTGAATGAAGGAAGACAGCTATTTTAACCAACTATTTTGTCCTATTCGATTAAATTTGAAATGTTATTTTCTAAAAATGTACTTGAAATCTTTTCACCACATTCCCAGAGTTGTTAATGGTGTCTTTGTATCAGTACCGCCGCTCCCTATACACAGAGTACGCAGTTTGCGTAGAGCACCAACTCCCGGGGGGCACCATCCCCGTTGCTAAAAAAAAAACAAAAAAAAACACAGCGCCATTCCCGCATCCGCGCTTGCGACCGCTCGCACCCCGCTCATGTTTGCGGCCGAATGCAAATGATCATAATTGATGGACAACTATGCTCGTGACAAGATATCAGCAATCCAGCGCCGAGAGAAGAAAAAAAAGTGAAAACTAAGCCCCTGCATCACTTTCAGGCACATTCATAATCCTGTGAAACTTTTTTGGCTGTTGACGTTAATAACGTTTTAATGTTGGTAATTATTTCACCACCACCAACAAATCTAATATTCTCTCTGAGTTTCCATGTTCCCTTACAAAAATTAGCCATGGTTTTAACACGAATAATACCAAAAATCATGGTTCTTGTAGCCATGGTAACCGCAAATTAACCATGGTTCCCTGTCGATACTACACTCGTACTGCGTCTTGTCTTAAGACGCTATGGGAAAAAAAACTTTTTTCTCCTGAACTGAAGCCTTTTTTTCAATCACGCAGCGAAACTGCACAACCATTGGTTCGTGCAGTGTATTAAAAAACTAACCAATGGGTTGGCAGCGGTGCTGCCCAAGCCTATGGCGACAAAGCCTCTTTGCAATGATTTGTATCGTGAAAAGCGCTGTACAAATAAACTTGACTTGACCTGCTCTTCGCTTCAGCATCGCAGCAGCTCCAGTCCTGTTCCCCTGACGCCATCCGGCGTTCTAAAATTGCTATAAGTTTGATTGCATCATATAATAATTGCTGTTAATAGTGTTCATCGTCTGT